AACTACACTGCTAGATGCTACTAAATTCTACCTATTGGTCCTTTAAGGCCTTATAAGACCTGTAAATAGACTTTGTATCTGAAAACTAGATGCAATCAAAACACTCAAATTAGGTGCAAAGTGAAGTGATAAAGCACACTATATCCGGTGTCACTTTGGATTTTGTAGTTTAGCATTGTCTCCTCTCAGTGAGAAGGTAATGGGTTCCACACCTCAAAACCTGCAGGACCTTTCTGTCTGAAGTTTGTATGTTCTTCTCATGTCTGTGTGGGTTTGTTCCGTTGAAAGCACAGATTACTGGAAATTATTATTGGAAGTTTTTAATTGCCCATTGGTATAAATATTTGTCTGTCACTATGTGTTAGCCCTGTGACAGACTGCTGACCCACCAATCACCCACTGCATGCTTAGATAGGCTCCAACCGCCCATATAAAAAATATGGCGATGAGTTCTGGGTCCATAACGTCAGAACATGCTCTTAACATAAAGCTAATTTTGTGTCATCATTGGATGCTTACTAGCTCCAATAGCCAGTAACTTAGATTTGCTAATTCCCACAGGCAAAGATGCAAATGCTAAAAACAAAACACACACCTGCAACCCCATTAAATAACAAATGAACACCTGAGATGTATCAGCATGAAATCTAAAACATATCAATCTGTAAAGCCACCTTAACTTTCCGTGTTGCACAGGAGCTGTCAGTTATTCAACCTGTGTTTATCCTTCTATACCCCAGGGTCCAGCTCACAAATCAACACAACGTGTCTGAGTTGACATGACAGCTCCAATAAAGTACTTTTAGTGAGAGGAATGAGGGCCTGGTTTGGCTGTAGCCCCAGCTAATATAGTAAGGAGAATAGATGTGTCTGGCACCTTTGTACTATTGTTTCAGTGCAGAGTGCATCCTGATTCGCTCTGCCTGTTAGTCTGTCCTTCCTCTGTCTTGGTGCCCTCCACCTGATGTCTGTCAGCTGTTGCATGTTTCTGTTTCTATCTTTATTTCTCTCTGTCTTTCTTATTTGTCTTTGTCTCTTTTTGTCTCTCCTCCTCTCACCAAAACAGCCATTGAGCTTCAGAGCAGGAAGTGAGGCGCGTTCCGAGATGCTACAACATTAGAAAGCAGGCAGCCTGCGGGCCACGTTATTTAGTCTAATTGATTCTCTTAATTGTCGTAGGAAGACCAGAAAGTTCCTGCCTTTTTCTCCCCGTCTGTCTTTCAGCGTGTTAATCATGCCCGTTTGTGGCGGATGCTCGCCGGCGGTGAGTTAAAACCGTCTGACGCAAATTCCAATTCCTGCCTGGACCCCCAGACACATCGAGCAGATGTGAAATCCATTTTGATGAGAGGAGCTTAAAAAAACGAGAGAAGCAATAAAAAACAGATTTGTTGGAACTGAACTGCCCAAGAGATGCAAGACTGACTGATTGCTTATCCTGGAACAGGATAAGAATAAGGGGTTAAAATATAAAGTGTTAAAATATACTTTATATATTCCTTAAAAGATCAGCAATTTTTAAAACTAGCATTTTTGGGGGGTTGTGTGAATAAAAATACCGTTTAAATGTTGCCTTGAATCAAAGATTAAAAAAAAAGAAGAAATGACACATATGAGCAGGTAAGGACAAGTTGGATTGTGTGAAGTGAAGCTTCTTTTCAAAAGCAAAATTTCACACTGCAACAGTGCCTGTTGACCTTCTTGATGCTTAATGACACTCTTTTCAATAGGGGTCCCTCTTGATTATTGCCCCTTTCAGGCTTGTTATGATTGACTCAGGACACAGTGGCTGATGGGTAATGATTAGCGGAGGCCTTGGTAACCAATCAAAGCAAGTTAATTAGCGTTGTTGCTTTCCCACCATCCCATATTGAGGACTCGCTGCCCGTCCGTGTCTTCAGCAGGCCTTTCCACCTCGCCTCGTCCCTGTTATTACCGGGCTTAAGTGCCAGTACAATCAGGCAGAACGCTGGTCCAAGTCTGGCATGCTTGCACACACACACACACACACACACACACACACACACACACAAACTGTAAAAGTGCACATTCTTCTACACTCAGGGTCTCACGCACAATAATGCACTCACATTCACAGGCACAATCAGTACGTCACTTCAGTGCCTCCTCTCTTGCTCTCGCTCTCTCTCTTCCCACCTCTTTCACGCACACAAACACACACATACACGCGCTGGGCCTGGTCCCAGGAGTCCTTTCATGGCCAGTGATTGTCATTCGCAGCTGGCTGTATGACCTTGATAGGGATAACAGAAGCACCACTGAGGGATGCTACTGCATACTCTCTCTTCACACACTCTCACAGACATACACAGACACTGCAGCTGAAATCCTCCCTCCAAAAATACAAGGACATGGGGAGAATGTCTGTTGGTCTGAAGTGTGTGTGTGTGTGTGTGTGTGTACAGAATTTGTATGATAATGATTCAAAGTGATGTTTTCTTTGGACCAACTTATACGTTTGTAGGCACACTCTGCTTCGCACAGCAGATTCTTCTCTTGATTTCCGACACACACATACACAGAAAAAAGTGCATTTTTACAAGTTACATAAGTTTCCTGAGAAGATGTCTGCGTGTGTATATATTTGTACATACCTGTCTTGCCTTCCACAGGTTTTTTTTGTTTGTTGCCCTCCTCACATCTGACAGGAGCACAGGCAGCAGGAGGTGTTATCAAGGTTTAAATACACACAAACACACACATTCGGGTGCCGATCCATTGTTCCTGGTGCTCATTTTCTCAGTGTGCTTCGGAGGTGTTTGGTGTTGCGGAGCTGCGCCACACCTCCTGTCATCTTTCCGCAGTATCACGAGCCCCACAGTCTTTCATGTCTGCTCGGCTGGTAATGAGAGCTGATAGAAAGAGGTGAGAGTCTCCCATCAGTCCTCCCACACACACAGAGGGAGACAGACTCAGCTGAGACAAAGCCACTGGGTGCACGTTTCTATGCCAGCATGCATGGAAGTCGGAGTGTGTGTGTGTATGCGCAGTGCAGATTATCACACTTCTCTCCCACAGCGATATCTCCTAATCACACTAAACTTCTCCTGACACTTCACTTACTCTTCAGCTGAAGTTACTGTGTCTTTATCAGCGATTTCTCCCTCTACCGCATTCTACTTCCTCCCCTCTCACTTCTGCATCCTCACACACACCCCCCTACCCTCCCTGAACGTCCACGTCTATTCAAGTTTGACGCTGTGCCATCTGTGAATCCAACTAATGTCACACCTCTTTCTTTTTTTGGTTTTCTTCATCTGACCCAGTTTGTCACTCTCAGCAGGTGCCGGCTGCCACTGTGATTACTTCTCAGAAATATCTCTGTCCTGAATGACAGCTGTTGCACTTGTGTGAGTGTGAGTGCGAGAGTGTGTGTGGGTGCACTTGTGTGTGCATAGGTGGGTTTTGTATATTAGTGTTGTGTGTTCAGAGAGATAATGAAAATACACAACAATGAACATACTGCGCTGTATGATTAGGGATGTCTAACACAAGTCGTAATAAGAGAAAGTACTTTTGATATTACTGCTGCAAAAATCTTGCAGATTACAAAGCAAAGAAGGCTAAGAAATATGGAAGGCAGGGTGAGTAGTCAAAACGGGGGAAGAGCAAAGACGGCAAGAGCAGGAGAGGACAGAAGAGAGGAGTTCTTTTTAGGCATAAGGATATCATCCACATATAATATGCAGTGTTGACATTTCTCGCTCTCATCTTTCGGTATGACAAACAAAAAGAGCAGAGGGACTCAGCACAGAAGGATGCAGCGCAGACAAGTGGAAAATGATGAATGAAGAATGAGACATGGCTGCTTAGTGGAAGAGCAAGGCTGGACAAAGTAACAAGCGGGGCGCGAGATCAAGAGGGGATGGAGGGAAAAGATGAAGCGGGACATGGAGATAAATAGCAGAGCTTCGGAGAGGCTATGAGGACTCGAGCTTCGCCTTCGACTCATCACGCTTGTAAAACTGCAGTCTCATCTCCCATGCTCTTTCAAGTGGGGAGTAGAAAGGCCTTCATTTTAGTTGCCGTCCCATGGAAGCGCGCTCTCATTAAAGGTGACCTCATGGCACCCCTCTGATCATGAGACAGCACTGGGGGACCGTTTAGATCCTTGACACACAGCAACAATGCTGAGGACCAGAAGGATGTGATGGTGACGACCCTGTGTCTGTTTTTGTGGGTGCGGAATACACTGGCATTTAGACAGTCTGTGAAGATTTAGACAGTGACACGTAACTGTGCTGTTGGCTATGTTCTCCAGCACATCGGATGATAGAAATGATGATTATGAGGTTAAAACGTTGGATTTCAGCTCTAATTTGAGGGTGTTCACATTTAGCTGGGAGAACATCAAACACCTTTCAATTGAGACCCTTTACCACACTGTCTGTACGTGACCCTGAGATAATCCAGCACATATAACAGAAAAACACCTGTGACAAAACATTTTTGTATGAATTAAACAACGTGGTAATTACTAAGCTTTGGAGATGCTGTTTTTCTTTCCCTTTTAAAAAAGCCAGGCTAGTCTTTATGCCAAGCTAAGCTAGACAACATTGTTTTATCAAATAATGAACATTGTGTTCCCCTGAGCCACTTAACCCTCTGCCATTTTGCAGAAAATCAAGGAGTGTTTTGGTGGATTTGTAAATAAACCTTTATCACAGCAGACATTTTAGCCTGTCATAGCAGCAAAAGCACAAAAGGTCTATGCTGTGAATTATCTAGGCAAGTTGGTGTTAAGTACACAACTTTGTCAAGTTTGTCTACACAGTCCTGGCTATTTTGGTTTATTATTTTATCATGTTTTCCTCTGTAACATCTGCCATGAACTCAGGATCTGCAACCTCTACCAGGTCTGCGGCTCTTGTTGCTGTTTTTGTTGTGCTACGTTAATCTAACATGCTGTGCTTTCTGTGTGTTTCTTTTTATAACCTTCCCGTTGCTGTGGTACCTGTGGATGCTGCTGGCTACGGCAGTCTCATGTGAGTATATCTATCCAAAAAGTCCCTGGGTCAGATCACTTCTGTGTGAGAGAATAGAATTGTCAGCCAACCAACTTGGCAGCACTCCTCAAAGACATAACTACTGTTGGCCATTTCACAAGGTTTGGTTCTAAATCTTCCTCACATGGCCTAACAACGAAAACGATAATCTTCAGAACATTCCCCCCCTAATTATTAAGGAAGGGAGTTTTATATTTATTTAGCTGTTCCAGTTTCCTAATCTAAAAGGAATCCAACTATCCCTTAACAAGTGGTCACAGCAGGACTCCAGTGCTCAGGGAGATGATGCTAACTTTCGTATTTTACATGAGTTGAATTTACCAACTGATGAAATTCAAATCAAAGTCTTGTGTGATTATACATTTTTAATTGGTAGCTATCAGGGATTTGCATCACCATTCAAGGCGCAGTAAGCTCCTTTTGCTGAAATGTATGTCAACAAATTCTAATAAAACGTGTTTTTCAGTACGCTGCTCTTCAAAAAAAAGGAATAAAAAAGAAGCAGTAATACAGTAATTCTTTGCTTCAGGAAATAGGCTGAGTCAGAATGAAATGGGAAAAGAATAATACAATTGTTCGAGTTGTTGATGTCTGTGTGTCTGTCTGCAGGTGATTTCAACAGAGAAGTCAGGGAACCATATCTTCCGACTGACAGGCCCCGGTGCTGACCAGGATCCCAAAGGTCTCTTCACCATTGACATAGACACAGGAGACGTGTCAGTCAGCCGCTCACTGGACCGAGAGGCCATTGAATCCTACCAGGTCAGTGTGTGTGAGTGTGCCTTTGTTAAATCTGGTGCTTATTGTGTTTGTGTGTACTTCCTTTTCTCTCCTTTCTAGCCACCAGGACACTCTATCTCTGTCGGAATCCTTTTTATTGTTACCTTGTCAGTTTCATTGTTTGTGTAGTTCAGTTCCTGTTTTGTTTACTGAACATTTCCTTTTCAACTCGGTCCAGTTATTTATTAGAATCTGTAGTTCAAACACAATTTATTTATCAGTTTTAATATATGTTCAGCATAGTGGCATATGTGACAAAAAACTGAACATGAATTACCAGTTGTAAGTTGGTGGTTTCCTCTGTGATAAAAGAACACTAGAGTTTGAGGTGTTTGCTGGGTTTGGTGCCCTCTGGGTTGTCTGCCTGACGAAACCATTTCCCCCAGAACAGAAAGGGAGAGAGAGAGAGGGGCAGAGAAAATCTACTTTTTAAGTAAGTCAATTGATCTTATCCTGTTTTCTGAAACCAGACGTAAGTGCAGGCTTTCAGCCGGATGCAAGCTGTTGATAAGCTAACTGGCTTTTGTAAAAACTCAGAAATGATTCACTCTGTAAATACCAACAGATGTGGGAGGAAAAAACAGGCAGGAGAAGAACAGAGAGGAAAGCTGAGAGGAGCAAACACATATTCACCAAATGTCTTTAGTTTTTCCTGCTCTAGTATCATTGCTTACTATTACATGCATGGTGTAACCAGGACATTGGCTGTCTGTGGTTACGGTCTGATTCTGATTGTTTACAAGCACCTTTGACACCCAGTAACTAAACATCCCATCTCCTGAATAATCCGTTTGACAGATAGAATGGTCTGCTAGAACGACAGGACATCAGCTGCAGCCTCCCTTTATAAATGAACAATATGTTACTCTGAATATGGAAAGAAAGGATGATCCTCTGTTGACACCACACTGTGCCAATAACAGCGTGAGGAACATGTTTACATGCCACATTAACCCTTACAACATGAGTATGAGCTAAATGAGGTAATTCTGAGTTTTGACACATACGTTCATTAAACCAAAACCAGACCAGCTAAGCTTTGGATTTCTCCACATGCCAGAGCCATATGGATGAGCCTGTATTAAGAGTTACACTGCATTTAAAGTGTTAAAAAGTGTAAAGGCCTCTGCACACCAACCGCGACCGTCCAACGGCGATAATCGGG